AAACCCCCCCCCAAAAAAAAAACCCCCCCAAAAAAAAAAAAAACCCCCCCCAAAAATTTTAAAAACCCCCCAAAAAAATAAACCCAAAACCCAAAAAAAACCCCCCCAAAAAAAACCCCCCCAAAAAAAACCCAAAAAAAAAAAAAAAACCCCAAAAAAACCCCCCCCCAAAAAAACCCCTCCCAAAAAAAAACCCCCCCCAAAAAAATTTTAAAAAAAAAAAACCCCCCCAAAAAAAAAAAACCCCCCAAAAAAACCCCCCCCCCCAAAAAAAAACCCCCCCCCCCCCCCCCCCCCCCTTTTTTAAAAAAAAAAAAAAAAAAAACCAAAAAAACCCCAAAAAATTTAAAAAAAAAAAACCCAAACAAAAACCCCCCAAAAAAAAAAAAAAAAACCCCCAAAACCCCCCCCCCAAAAAACAAAAATTTAAAAAAAAAACCCCAAAAAAAAACCCCCAAAACACACAACACAACACAAAAAAAAAACACAACACACACACACACACACACACACACACAACACACAAAAAAAAAAAAAAACAAAAAAAAAAAAAAAAAAAAAACCCCCCCCCCCCCCCCCCCCCCCCCCCCCCCCCCCAAAAAAAAAAAAAAAAAAAAACCCCCCCCACACACACACACCCCCCAAAAAACCCCCCAAAAAAAAAAACCCCAAACCAAACCAAAAAAAAAAAAAAAAAACCCCCCCAAAAAAAAACCCAAAAAAAAAAAACCCCCCCCAAAAAAAAACCCCTTAAAAAAAAAAACCCCCCCCCCCCAAAAAAAAACCCCCAAAAACCCCCCAAAAATTTCCCCCCAAAAAACCCCCCAAAAAAAACCCCCAACCCCCCAAAAAAAAAACCCCAACCCCCCAACCCCCAAAAACCCCCCCAAAAAAACCCCCCCCCCAAACCCAAACCCACCCCTTCCCCCCCCCCCAAAAAAAAAAAAAAAACCCCCCCAAAAAAAAAAAACCCCAAAAAAAAACCCAACCCAAAAAAAAAAACCCCCCCCAAAAAAAAAAAAAAAAAACCCCCAAAACAAAAAAAAAAAAAAAAAAAAAAAAAACCCCCCAAAAAAACCCCAAAAAACAAAAAAAAAACCCCCCCAAACCCAAAAAAAAAACAAAAAAAAAACCCCAAAAAAAAAACAAAAAAACCCAAAAAAAAAAAAAAAAACCAAAAAAAAAAAAAAAAAAAACCAAAAAAAAAAAAACCCCCAAAAAAAAAAACCCCCCAAAAAAAACCCCCCCCAAAACCCCAAAAAAAAAGGCCCCCAAAAAACCCCAACCCCCCCCCACACACAAACACAAACAAACAAAAAAAAAACCACACACACACAAAAAAAACCCCACACACACCCCCAAAAAAAACCACACAAAAAAAAAAACCACCCCCACACACACCACACCACACACACACAAAAACCCCCCCCAAAAAATTTGACAAAACCCCAAAAAAAAAAAATTAAACCCGGCCCGAAAAGGGGGGGGGGGAAAAAAAAAAAGGGAAAAAAAAGGGAAAAGGGGGGGTTAACCCCCCGGGGGGGGGCCCCCAAAAGGAGGGGCCCCCTTTTGGGGGGGGGGTTTTTGGGGGGGGGTTTTGGGGTTTTTTTTTTTAAATTTAATTAATGGGGGAAAAAAAAAAAGGGGGGGGGTTTTTAAAAAAAGGGGAAAAAGGGTTGGGGAAGGGGAAAAAACCCCCCCTTTAAAAAAAGGGGGGGGCCCAAAAAACCCCAAAGGAAAGGGGGGGCCCCAAAAAAAAAAAAAAAAAGGGGGGGAAAAAAAAAACCCCCCCCCCAAAAAAAAAATTTTAAAAAACCCCCCCCCCGGGGGGAAAAAGGGTTAAAATTCCAAAAATTGGGGTTTCAAAAATTTTTTTTAAAAAAATTTTAAAAAAAAAACCCCCCCAAAGGGAAAAAAAAAAAAGGGGGGGCGGGGGTTTTAAAAAGGGTTTTTTTTAAAAAAAATTTTTCCAAAAAGGGGGGGAAAAAAAAAAAGGGCCGGAAAACCCCGGGGGGGGGGGAAAAAAAAAAAATTTTAACCTAAAAAAAAGGGGGGGTTAAAAAAGGGGTTTAAAGGGGCCAAAAAAGGGGAAAAACCGGGGGGGAAAAAGAAAGGGGGGGGAAAAATTTTTTTTTTTGGGGGGGGGAAAAAGGGGCGGGAAAGGGGGGGGAAAAAAACCATAAAAAAGGGGAAAAAAAAAAAGGGGGGGGGGGGAACCCCCCCCCCCCCCCAAAATTTTTCCCCCTTAAGGGACGGGAAAAGGGGGGGGGGGAAAAAAAAAAAATTTTTTTAAGGGGGAAAAAAAGGGGAAAAAGGGAAAAAAAGGGAAAATTAAAGGGTTCCGGGGGTTTTTGGGAAAGAAAAACCCCCCAAAGGGGGGGGGGGAAAAAAAAAAAGGGGGGCCCAAACTTTTTTTTTAAAAAAAAAAAGGGGGGGGGGAGGGGGGGACCGGGGCTGGGGGGGGGGGTTTTTTTCCCCCCCCCAAAAAATTTGGGATTTAAACAAAAGGGGGGGGGGAAAAACCCCCCCAACCAACTAAATGAGTACGCACACCCCCATAGTTAGTTTAACCTTATCTTTCACACTTTTTCCCAGGGACTTTGGGCCCCCAAAATTTTGATAGCTGAAAAGTTACAAAGGTAATGAAATTCAGGAAAATCTGGTCACAATTTTTGGCCAAGTTACAAAAGTAATGAAAAAATCTAAACGTTTTTCATGGATTTCAATAAAGGGGAAAATTTCAAAAATAATGAGCCCCTTCACACGGGCCCCACCCGGGCACAACTTTTAATGGGGGTTATTAGTGCTAGTATTAACTTTGGGGCACACACACACAAAACAAAGCACACACACACCACACACCCCAACAAAAACACACCCCACAACACACACCCCACACACCCCACCAAAACAAAAAAACACAAAAAAAACACACACACAAAAAACCCCACACACAAAAGCACACACACACACACAACACACACACACACACAAAACACACACACACACAAAACACCCCAACAACAAAAAACACACACACCACACACAAAAGCACACCCCACACACACAAAACACACACACACCCACCCCACACAAAAACACACACACAAACAAAACCCCCAAACCCCCCACACACCCACACCACACACACACACACACACACAACAAAAGTAAAACAATGTCAGGTTTTTATTTTTCCAAATGGTTTATAATATACCACTGAGGATTAAAAAACTCCGACATTTCTTGAACATTTCTGGTGAGTTGTCTCTAAAATTCGTACATAATGACGCAATTGTGACAGCCCGTCTATCTTGGATTTTTTTGTTTGAACAAAGATGCTTTTTAACCCAGCCGGGCGGGCGGGGTAGTGACATCCAAGAGTCGGCTTATTTTCTGGGTGACCATTGGGCATGTGGCTCCTCCTGCAAAGATAGAAAGATGATAGAGGGATGACTTTGGGGTCAAAACTCTTGAAAACTTAAGTCAATAAAATTCATTTTTAAGTTTTTCTCGTAATTTAAAGTTCTCAAACTGCCCCCAACTGACAAGCCCAAAATTTTTAATCTACCCCCTCTTTTAAAAAACCCCTCAGTTAGCCAATTTTTAGTTTTTTCATGCATCTGAAGACCCCAAAGTGAGATGGAAATCCCCCCCGATGTGCACCCCTGGGCTCCACTGTCCCCAATTTACCCTACCCGGTCTGGCTTCTGTCACAAGCTGCCACAAATTTTTACTTAATAAAATTTAGGAAAAAATTTTTGGATGATAGTGAATCAGTTACAATTAAAGTGTCAGCCATAGATACAGGACACATTTGAGGGTTTAAAGGGAAAAAGGCAAAAAAGTTTGAAGGGGAGGGCCCCCGTTATTGGTGCGTTTCTTTCCCCTTTTTTTTGAGAGGGTATCATCTCTTTTAACAAAAGAGCACTCCAGCTGCAAACCCCGTTGGTTGGTTAAAAAGTCCATCAACATAAATAATTGTGTAAAAGTGTGCTGTTTTGACTAAGTTTTCCAGTACAGCTTAAGGAATCTTGTTTGGCTTGAAAGGGGATGCCCCTTTGGGTTTTGATTTAAGGGAAAGGGTTTTTTGGAGAAATTTTAGGTACGGTAGTTTTGGAAAAAGGGGTTTCAATATTTCCCCTGAAGGGGGAAAAATGCCCCTGTTGCCTTACTTAATATAGGGGTTTCCCGCAGCTAATTTGCGGAGGGCGGTTCCATTTTTTTTGATCCATCTGGAGGGGGTGTTCCCAAAACCAAAAGGATTTTACATTATCTATGTATTTTTGGTTTTTGCTTCAGGGTTTGTGATGGGGGTTTTTAGTGTGGGGCGAGGCGGGGGCTGCCCCCATGTGCGCTTTCTGTGCTGTTGTTTTTTTCTCTTTTCCCCCAAATGGTGACAGCTCTCAGTAAGTCAACATAATTTTTTAAAGGGGCAAATACTGAAATGTTTGTAATTCAAATACAGTTTTAGGAAAAATGATGTACGATAGAAAAAATTTAAGCGAATAAAAGTGAGGATAAAAGAAATGAGTGACTTGACAAAATAATAATATAAATTTCTTTATCACTACAAGTAATGTTTTTTAAAAGTATACGTCCTAGCCCGACATTTTAAAGACATATTTCTATATAAAAAAAACCGCTTGTTTTGATGAGGGATTCGGGCAAATTTTGATCGTTTTGTGTCAGGAGCGGCCCCCCAGTCGACCCAACTCCCAGGTACCCATTTTGTGATGGGGAAAAATGGACAAATGGTGAAAAAGGGAAAAACGCTGGGAATGAACCCCCGGGTTCTCGCCTGGGGAAGTGAGAGCCCTTTGCCACCGACCAAAGGGTGAATGAGGGACGTGAGGATAACATGAGTATGTGATGTGAGTGATGTAAAATAGTGAGGATTGGGATGAGAGCGAATTATATTCTCAGTTATTCCTTTATTTATAACGCTTAATCATCTCAATTACTCTTTTTTTCAGATGATGACAGCACAAAGGGTTTCCCATACCGATGGAGAGTCAGTGGCAGCTCTCACTCGCCTCCCACGACAAGTAATCAAAATTTAGCAGTTGCTGGTGGTGTATAACGCCGTTAGACCTCTCATTGTAACTATTATTATTATTATTACTATTATTTTTGTTTTTTTACATTGATCATTCCTTACAATGGTTTCCACTAGATAATTTTTAGAAAGCCTTCTTGTAATCAACTTTAGAAATTCATCACTGGTTTATTCTGTTTAGAATACAGGTTAATATTGTTAAAAGAGTTTTGGGGGTAATATTTTAATACCTTTAACTTCCGGGAAAGGTATAGTAATATTTTGCTTTGCATAACTAAATTATGCTTCAAAGATTTGGGAAGGGCTCTTGATCGAAGGAATGGACTTACATTTCACTTGTTTGGATTGATTCTAAACCCATACAGGTTTATCACTTTACAATGATTAAAATACAAATTAACTTTGATATTTATCTTTAAGAAATTTAAAGCACTGTAAAAAATTAGGGTGCCCCGGTAGCCTGGTGGCCCAAAGCTCTCGCTTCACACACGGAGGGCTCGGGTTCGATTCCCGGCGGGGGTGGGGAAACGTCTTGCGGTTTCCTTACACCTGTTGTCTGTTCCCCTAGCAGCAAATAGGTTTTGGGGGGTTAGTCGTGTGTGGGTCGATCCTGGGGGACAGTTTGATGCCCCCATGGGTTCCCTGGGTGGCAAACCCCTCCGGGGTTTAAAAAATCAAAAGAAAATTTTTTTTCTTTTTGGGGGTATAGGTTGTGAGGTGTAAATTTGTTTAGATTTTGTACATAAATGGGGAATGAATTTTCCCGGTCGTTTAAAAAACTTTTAAACCCCAAGGAAATTTCCCCTTCATTTACGTTTGTGTAAGTTTTAAATGTGAAGTTTTTATTTTTAAAATTGTTTTTGTGAGACAAGGGGAATATTTCCCCAAGTGGGGGATGCCCTAAATTTTTATTGATAAAAAATTGATCTAATATTTCCCCAAAAATTTAAATAAATTTTTTCTTCCCTCTTACTTTCTTTACTTATTTACTTAAAAAGCTGCCCTGTAGAAGCCCCAAATTTAAATTTTTTATGAAAAATACTGTGAAAATTGAAAAACCCGCTTTTAGTGTTAAATTCTGAGTCCCTTACCCTTTGGGTTTTTTCTAAGGTAGCTCTTATATTTTCTGTTTTTCCTGAACGGACAAAGGTGCCTCCATGCAAGGCTTAAATTTTGTGCAAAGGTATTAAGTTGGTTTTAAGGGAAATATATTATTGCCTTAAAGTTCTGAGGAAATCAGATGCATTCCCCAAAAAACCCCTTAGAATTTAAATTCCAAACGTCTTAAAAAAAAATTGGAAAATTAGGACAAACAGAAAAAATCAAATTTCCCCTTTTCTTGAGAATAGGTGAATATCCTAAAAAAACCCAGACATTAAGCAGTAGTTGGATTTCAAATATCGCCATGAAAAGTTTAAGCTAATTGGAAGTGTACTCCGAAATTATTTTCATTAAATTTGCACATGGCCGATTTTTCCCCCAAGGAAAGGGTGGTCGAAAAAGAAAAAACTTTCACATCATTCATCCATCATGTCTTGCCAGAAGGGTGCTTTACATACGTTTATAAAACTGCAACATTTAAAACCCCTCCTTGAGTGCAGGCACTTCTTCCCCTCTCCTGGGCTCAGTCCGGCCTGCGGTTTCCCTGAAACCCCTTAAAATGTTTTTTTGCTCACACTCCAACAGATGTCAAGTGTTAAAAAAAACCCTTTTTCTCCATTCACTCCTATAAACACGCTCAGATGCTTGTGGAAATCCAAACCCCCCCACAAAACCTCCTTTACCCCCTCCCTCCCAAACCCTTTTCCCAGGTCGACCCCCACTCCGCCTTCCCTTCCATACAGATTGATACATTTTAAAATAATTCTGTTTCGTTCCATTCTCTTTACATTCCGAACCACCTCAACAACCCTTCCTCAGCCCTCTGGCCAAAAGTTTTGGTAACCCTGCACCTTCTCCAAAACTTCCAAACTACGAATTCTCTGCATTATATTCACCCACACATTGCCCTCAGACATGACATCTCCACTGCCTCCACCTCCTCCTCGCTGCAACATTCATCACCCATGTTTTCACACCCATATAAGAGTGTTGGTAAAACTATACTCTCATACATTCCCCTCTTTGCCTCCAAGGACAAAGTTCTTTGTCTCCACAGACTCCTAGTGCCACCGCTCACCCTTTTCCCCTCTTTCAATTCTATGATTCACCTCATCTTTCATGGGACCCATCCGCTGACACGTCCACTCCCAAATATGGGAAAATACATTCACCTCCTCCATACTCTTTCCCTCCAATCTGTTATCCAATCTTTCATCACCAAATCTTTTTGTTATCCTCATAACCTTCTCTTTCTGTATTCACTTTTAATTTTTTCTTTTACACCCCCTACCAAATTCATGCACCAACCTCTGCAACTTCTTTTCGGAATCTCCCAAAGAGAACAGTGTCATCAGCAAAAAGCAACTGGGGGACAACTCCAACTTTGTGTGTGTGATTCTTTATCTTTTAACTCCACGCCTCTTGCCAGGACCCTCGCATTTACTTCTCTTCAACCCCATCTATAAATATATTAAAACAACTACGGTGACATCACACTCCTTGTCTGAGGCCTACTTTTACTGGGAAATAATCTCCCTCCTTCCTACATACTCTAACTTGAGCCTCACTATCCTCGTAAAAACTCTTCACTGCTTTCAGTAACCTACCTCCTAACCATACACCTGCAACATCTGCCACATTGCAACCCTTCCACCCTGTCATACCCCTTTTTTCCAAATCTATAAAATGCCACAAAAACCTCTTAGCCTTATCTAAATACTGATCACTTATATGTCTAACTGTAAACACTGGTCCACACACCCCCTACTCCTTCCTAAAGCCTCCTTGTTTTGTCTGCTATCCCATTCTCCATCTTACTCTTAAATTCTTTCAATAATAACTCTACCATACACTTTACCAGGTATACTCAACCCGACTTATCCCCTATAATTTTTGCACTCTCTTTTGTCCCCTTTGTTTTATACAAAGGAACTATGCATGCTCTCTGCCAATCCCTAGGTACCTTACCCTCTTCCATACATTTTATTTAATAATAGCACCAACCACTAAAAACTATATCCCATCTGCTTTTAACAAATTTTTATCTTTATCCCATCAATCCGGCTGCTTACCCCATTTCATTCTACCCACTGCCTCACGAACTTCCCCCACACTCACAACTGGCTCTTCCTCACTCCTACAAGATGTTATTCCTCCTTGCCCTATACACGAGATCACAGCCCTTTCCCCATCTTCATCAACATTTAACAATTCCTCCGAAAATATCCCATGAAAACAATATCGCAGGGTTTTTACAATTTCTTCCAAAAATGCAAATTGCAATTTGCAAAGCCAAAATCAGTCAAAAATTTTCTTTAAGTTGCCAGCTTTTTTGAAAAAAATAAATAAAACATAAGTAAAAGAAAAAGGAAAATAAGAAATTTATATTTAAGCTTGGGTACAAACATTTTATTTTTAATAATGGTCTTAAGGGCACACATATGTTATATGCAATAAATGTACATTAGCAATTTAATCAGAATAACCAAGTAAAATCAAACACCGGTTAATAATAATAATAAAAATAATAATAATAATAAAATAATAATAATAATAAATAATAAAAATAATAATAAAATTTTATTTACTAAAGTAACGTACAAGGTATACAGGCCCTAACACATCAGTCACTATTTTACAGAAACCATTGTTATGTTGAAATTTCGGGCAAATTAGGGGGTTTTTGCCCCGGGGGGGGGGACGCGCCCCACAACAGTCGCAAAAACCCCGGACTATTTAATGAGGAAAAAATAGAAACTGTTAAAGAAACGCCCCCAATGTTTCTTCCCTCGCGGAAATCAAACACCCCCTCCCCCGTGTGAAGGATAGCTTTGTCCCGGGCCCACGGGCACTGGAAACTTATTTTGATCAGAAGAAAGATTCTCATTTATTTCACCGTAAAAAAAATTGATTAATAAATTATCCATTTAATTTTCAAAGTTAAATAAAGAGATTTTTTTTCTTTGAGGAAAACACATCACCCACCAAAAAATTTAAAACTGACCAGAAGATCCATTTTCTTTTATCGAGTAGATTTATAAAAATGCATCAAGCATCAGGGGAAAAAAACTTTAAACCTGCCAGTGATATATTTTTGTAAATTTTTTATTTGTTTTGCAATTTAAAAATTTTTTATTTTTTGTTGGTCAGTACATGTGGAAGAGGGGATAAAAAACTGGAGCCGTGGCTGGAGCCGTCCCCAGGCTGGCTGGGGGATAGAGAATTGTCAGGTCGGGCTGATGGTTGTTTTGGGGTTCTTTGTCAAAGTCTTTGGGTTTTGGGTTTTCCTCCTGTCTGAGAAAAATGTTTGTAAATGTTTTGCTTGTTTGCAAAATTAAGCATTCAGATTCTTTCACTGGTTGTAAATTGGGGGATAGTTTGAAAGACTAATCACAAGCCTGAAGCTGGCTTCTGTGGACCCAAACACCTAGTTGGTGGGTGCCAGGTATTGTGCGTATGGTGTGGCGTGTATAGTACTGCGCACCTTGTCCCATAGTACGTAGGTTCAAGTAAAAGGTATGGATGGAATATGAAGGTGTGGGTGGGGGTGAGAAGAGGAAAGGGGGGGGGGAGGTAGCAAGGAAGTGACCAACTACTTTGGCTTATATTAATAAGATGTGTTTGTGGGTAGGTTATGCATAATGTCAGATAAATGGGTATTCCCCACTACCCATCAGAGGCACAAAGCATAGAAGGTGCATCCTGCTTTACAGTGAATTAGTGGTAGGTCTAGGCATGACCCCCCTGACAATCCCATAAATGTGCTGCGATGACCCCCCTGATCAATCACCATAAATGTGTAGTGTGACTGACCACCCTGATCAATCACCATAAATACATTGTGTTTACCCTTCTGAAAAATGTTTTCCCGAAATTTTTTGGGTTTTTGCATGATATACCCCTTAAATTTTATTTGCGTGCAGGGGAAATTTGTTTTGTAATAAAATATAAAAAAAATCTGGAAATCCCATGGAATTCGTACCTAACTGGGAAAATCAGTGATCGGTTAAATTTTTGACCACTAGTGTAGTTCCTGAACACATGTTTTTGTTGTTCTTGGAAAAAATAAATCCCTACCTGCTATTTTTACGAATAAACAGTGAAATTCATTAAATGCTTTTCTGCTCGGGTTCAAAAAACTTTATTTAAATAAGGGTTTTTGGGAAGTTAAAAACAGTAACTAAATTTCCATCATGTACATATTGCAAACAATCGCAGAAGGCGATCTTAATTAAAGCAGAAAGCCCGGGGGAGGGGGAGGGGGAAATCTGTTGCCTCATGTTTTTATCACTATTACACTGGTGTACAACTTTAAGTTGTTGCAAACAGTGATGGCAACATGATCAATACAATTTATTAAATTAAAAGTAATTAAGTAAAAAGGTAAGTTTTCCAGGGAGTATGCGCAGGTGGAGTTGATAAATTGTTATAATGGCGCAGTGTGTGGGGGGCAGGTAACTTTTTTCCGTGGAGGTCCTAAACCCCGCTCGTACAAGCGTACAAAGGTACCGTGGTTGATTGCAAGTGGTGATTGCAATTGTTCATTGGATTGAAAGTTTGGTGTTAGTGGTGTTAAAGAAATTTTTTAAATTTGAATTTTATAGGAATATTTTAGGAAGTTTTAGAAGGTTCACTTATAAAACAGGCATTTATCGTATGAAAAAATTGGTAAGTAAAATTTAGGTATATATGAAGGGTACTTCGAATATTTCCTAAACTTTCTAGACCTGGACGTACGGCTTTTTTAAACTGACAAAGGAGGAATTCATTTCTTTTATTTAATTTGGTTTTCCCTAGTGTACCATTCCGTATTGTATTTCCATATGACTTGTTTTCGGCGACTAGTAAAAATTGGGCTGGCAATTTTAAACTCCAGTTTCCTTTTTTCAGTTTTTGCAAAATCGAGGCCCTGTCTGCTCCCTATGTGGTTGGCGATGAGAGTGGTGGGGTGGGTGGCAAGCGGGCCGGTTAGTGGTGGGGTGGGTGGCAAGCGGGCCGGTGAGTGGTGGGGTGGGTGGCAAGCGGGCCGGTGAGTGGTGGGGTGGGTGGCAAGCGGGCCGGTGTCTCACAGTAGCGCTGTGCTACTCTTCAGGAAACTTTCACTCATTTCTTCAGTTGCTGCTCTTGCAACATTGCATAGCTCCTGTTGACGTACTGAGAAGTGTGAAAGTACTTGAATTAAAGATTTCTACTTCCCACGGCTTGTCTTGCATAGTAACATACGTGTAGATTACCTAAGAGAGCGGCCGGCCAGGTTCAGTACTTTGGAGAGACTGGCAGCTTTCTTTCTGAGAGACTCAAGGAGCACGAATGAAGTGTTTGGCTTTCCAACACCAACAATGCTCTTTTCTGTCATGTAAGAGTTCATAGTCATCCTATTGACTGGCCCTCTGCTAAAACTGCCTACTCTTCTACCTTTCACAGTCACAGTCTTGTTAAATCATCCCACATACCCAACTTTCCCTGTATGACTCTTCGTCCTGGCTTCGTCTCTGTAGCTGCCTTCCTTTCTCATTACATTATCAAATGCTCCAAATTTCAGAACACTCTTGATTTAACCTGATCCTGTCTTCCCCTTATAACTCTTCACCTTACATTTTTTCTTTTTCTGCCTAGGATACTCTGTTCAGGTTTTTACCCCGTGTTTTTGGTCCAGCCCCTTTTGGGTCCTTAGCTCTCCTGCAGTGCTCCTTTTTCTTGTCCTTTGACTGACCCCACTTCTATTACTATTACTTCTACCACTACTACTCTACTACCATTTCCACTACTTTTGCCACTACCTTTACTTTTGCCTCCCTTCATCCTTCTCTTTCCGTTTCTATCTCTAGTCCCATTAAAACTACTCTCCCTACTTTCTACTACTACTACTGCTATTACTACTACTACTACTACTACTACTACTACTACTACTACTACTACTACTACTACTACTACTACTACTACTACTACTACTACACTACCAGCCTTACCATTACCACTACAACTCCTCCCTTCCTTAATCTTGTCCCTATTAATCTCGCCTCTCTCTCTTTGTTAGTGTGACTTTGTAAATGGTCCACATCAGACTGAAATGTCGTCACAAGCTTCTCTTTCCTAAGTGCGGTTTATTTGTGCACTGTACAGAATTAAAAAAAAAATATTATTTGGAAAGGTTTTTAAAATTAAATGACAATAGACCTTCCAATTTTCAGGAAAATAAATGGCTATAACTATGACCTTAACTTTTAAATTGGTGGACCGGTAAGCCAACGGAAGGCCTCGGTCAGATGACGGAAAGCTCCAACGGCGGGTCATCACTGCCAGGAAACACTTGTCCTGTCTCCTGACGAACCTTACCTAATCTAACCAATTTTCAGGATATAAATCTCTTCAAGTAAAAATGTGAATGCCTCTATATCTAGCCTTATAGCTGGTGTTTCTTAATGAAAGGTTTGACATAGATTTGGCTTGTGTACGTCCTAATTTGTCATTTTTGCTGAAGAAATTTTGATATTAATTTCCATATGATAACTTGTTAATGAATCGTGTGATTCGCCTCATATCTTCGGTGTTGATATTTAACTGCATTATAAACTTAAGCCCCCCTTTCCACTATTCCAACGAGGTACAAGGGACTGTAGTTACGCAATATGGCGATATCCTCCTCGAATCGTGCGACGACCCAGATACATTTAGTTGTAATAACAATTGTAAATGACATATTACTTATTCATTCTGGAAAACTCGGCTACAAGATCAAACCCACCGTATATCAAGCATAGAAAGAAACTGGTCAACTGTTTGCAAAGGGATTCGTTCCAAAACTAACGGAATAAATTATCAGGAGCTCAGTTTATCAATCCTTGAAGAAACGAGGTCTAGGGAATATAATATTTACACAGAAAATAGTAAGGTTTTATATAGATGAATGTTGAGGGAGTCAGGGCAAAAAGACGGTAGTTACTGATAAAAAGACAAATAAATATATAAATAGGTTATGATGTAGCATGTAGCTGTACCTTCGTGTGTGGGTAAGCGTCAGTTGGGAGGTTCTAACGTCTCTTCTCTCATGATTAATACATATGAATAATTTCATTAATTTTCTGGTACCTGCTAAACCGAAACACAGGATACAAATGCATGGTTTATACTGGTCCCGTGCACAAGCTGTCTACTTATTAGTCGGGAAAATAAAGTGATGTGGATCAAATTAATGATATGAATCAGTGACGCCAGGCTATTGTTGTGTTGGAGTCGGATATCTGCGCTGGTAAAGCTTTTGGCGAAGTATCTAATTTCCTTCAACGAGGTGTTACATTGAAAAATCCGAGTCATACATTGTAACCTGATCATTGTGATCTTTATGACTCTCATGTCTAATTTATTGGCGAAGAATAAGTCTATATCAATGAACATTTTCATTCTCAGGGTGCCATAATAAGGAGACCATCCAGACGAAGACCACCAATACGAAGAGGCCCACGACGACGAGGATAACGAAGACTGCTGTTCCACACTTTGAACTACATATTTGTTGGTACCTCATAGTTAGACTCTTCGATTTACTGGATCACACTTTAAAGATGTTCTTGTTGACCTCCTTATACACCATGTAATACACATTTTATGAAATTATATACATGTAATTAGTATGGAGGATAATACCATAACAACAAATTCTGACCCACCTTAAAACTATACGGAACATGCTAAATAAAACTGTTGTTGAGCTAGAATGATGGTGGTTAGTAACTAAAGAATACTACCTTAAATGCTCCTAATCTCTTAGGAATAACTCTTTACTGCCTTATGAGGGAAATGCTTTTATACTGTTGGGATACCCTTATACTGCTGAAAATGGCATTGTACAGCTATACACGAGCGGGTACCTTGAAGTGCTTGTCTGATTTTTTTCCTTTCCCTGACGTTCGTGTTTTATCTCGTTCATACCATGGAAAAGCCTCATTCGACTGACATGTGGGGTGACCCAGGATAAATGATGTAGAACCCATTCCATGAATCCTAAAATGGGTCTGGTAATTTAAAACAATGTTTGCTACTTGGCTTCAAACGTTCATACAACTGATATAAAATTTCGCCTACGGAGGAGTGATAAAGTGTGTAGGTGCACATTTACCAGGTTTGTTTATTTTAGTATAGTTTTTGAAAAGCTTCAATAATTAATGTTTAATGTTGTTTGTGGACAGGATAATGTTCATTATGTTCAGTTTGGCCTCAACACCGCTTTAAAAAAATTATGTATTCAAAGCTTAAATAAAAATTATTTATTTACCTCTTATTTACTTGTTTACTTTAACATTGAACGCTGATCAGTCTTATATATTTGTTTGGACTTATTTTATTTTCCTGAAGTCCCATTTTGCCCTTTTTTTTATAGAAGAAATTATGAAAATTGAAATACTGTTTTTTACATGATATCTTGTGAGTGCGTCATTATATTGCTATCAAACAATCAACCATGATAACTTGATAATGCATTTTCTGAGTGCCTTCAAGCATAAAGCATTGGATATTGATCTCTGTGAGATATTAATCTCTGTGAGATAACTACCGGCCATGGTTATCCTAGGGTAACCAAGGCCGGTGACACCTACGCTACTCTGAGACCTTTCTCCCTGCTTTGGTTGCTCCCTTGCAGCATTGCACAGCTCCTGATGACGCATTAAGAAGTGTGAAAGTACTTGAGCTAAAGATTTCCACCCCCACGTGGTTTGTCCTGCAAATATACATACATATACATATATACAGTGGACCCCTGGTTTGTGATATTAATCCGTTCCTGAGAGCTCATGTAAACAAATTATCGCCAAACCAAACCGAATCAATTTTCCCATAAGGAAATAATGGAAATCCAAATATCCGTGCAAGACACCAAAGGATGAAAAAAATTTTTTTTACCATATGAAAATATTAATTATTAATACACATAAACTGACCACTTATCTTTATTGAAGATCTGGTGATGATTGACGGGCATGGGAGGAGGGTGTGATGGTGTTGATGGTGATTAAAGTATTTAGAAGGGAATTCCCCTTTCCATTAGACTTGAGGTAGGCAAGTCCTTTTCGGTGGTTTACGTCCCTTCTTCTTTTAATGCCACTAGGACCCAGCTTGAGAGTCATGCCACTATTCCTTGTATGCCACTCCGAATCTTAAAATCTTTCAAAAACCAGCCTTTGCTGGCCTTAAATTTCACTCAACATCAGCACTAGTTGCAAAGCAATTTCTTTACCAAATCGTCATGCAACTGCCTAGCCTTTTCACAAATGATCGCTGAGAGGATGCTATCTCCTGCTGTCTGTTTTTCATTTATCCACACCAATAAAGTCTTCAACATTAACACTTGCGGTCGGCTGTTTCGTAATCCACAGTTGCACCTTTTCCACGAACGCTTCCTTGATTGCCGTTTTTCATGGCCACTATAGTAGCGTGGGGATGATTGGGTTTCGTATACATCTGGCCAGCTCCGACACACGCACTCTTCTCGTTACTTTTCAATTATCTCTTTCTTCATTTTAAAGTTATTAGCGCCCATTTTCTCGAAGGGTTGGCCCAAATTTAAAGCTTTCTTGGGGCATGGTGACTAATTTGCAGAAACAAGCACCAAAAACACGTGATAATATGAAATGTACCGAATGTATGCTTAGTTGCTAGCACACTGCTGGCTCCTTGTAAACACTGGCATAACGCGTCTCGGACGAATCCCGTATACCTGGTTTTTTAACGCGAACCGAGACCGAGGCAAAATTTTTGTATTTAAATGTATCGTATTACGGATTTAATGTAAGCAATGCCTTCGTATACGGGGGTCATTGTATTATAATATATATATATATATATATATATATATATATATATATATATATATATATATATATATATATATATATATATATATATATATTTATATATATAAAAAATATTTCCTTATATATACATATATTATATATTATATATATTATATAATATATATATATATAAGTAGTGAAGGAAGCGGCTGAGCGGTGTATCCGTTTTTAGGCTGCGGCTGTGCGGTGTATCCGGTTTTTAGGGGTGCGGCGAGCGTTGTATCCGGTCTTAGGACCAGCAGCGGGAGGGTACCTTTTTCACACCTAGGTGTTACTTCCGGTTTTTGACCTGACTCGCCCTCGGACTACCTCACCTGACCCCCCAAACCAATACCCCACCACACGACCCCCCGCTCGCGACCCCACATCGGCCGCGCGCCCGCGCGCCCGCCCGCGCGGCCCGCCCGCCGCCCCGCGCGCCGCCCGCGCGCCCGCCCGCGCCCCTTCGCGCCTTCTGCTGCGCCTTCTGCAGCGTCGTCCGGATCGCCCCCGCGCCTCGAATTTTTTTTTTCTTATGATCTCCTCGGATCAAGTTTTTGGATTCCCCCCTATGGGGTTTTCGAAATTCTCCATCTCCTTGGATCAAGGTTTTTGGATTTCTCCATCTCCTCGGATCAAGTTTTTTGGATTCCTCCCTATGGGGTTTTCGAAATTCTCCATCTCCTCGGATCAAGTTTTTTTGGATAATACCAAGACTCCATCTCCTCAGATCAAATTTTTTGGATTCCCCCTATGGGGGGTTTCGAAAAGTCTCCATCTCCTTGGATCAAGGGTTTTGAATTTCTCCAATTCCTTGGATCAAATTTTTGAGGTTCCCCCTCTCACTTTCACCCCCACCCCAAAATTTCTCGATATTACCAAGTTTTTGGATTCCACCCTATGGGGGTTTCGAAAGTCTCCATCTCCTCGGATCAAGTTTTTCGAAATTCTCCAATTCCTCGGATCAAGTTTTTGGGTACCCCTCCTTTCACCCCCCATCCCCAAATTTTCTCGATAATACAAGTTTTGGATACTCCCCCCTATGGGGTTCTCAATATCAAAGTCTCCACTTCCTCGGATCCCCCTCCCACTTTCACCCCCCAACCCCAAAAAATTTCTCGACAATACCATGACTCCATCTCCTCGGATCAAGTTTTTTGGATCCCCCCTATGGGGTTTTCGAAATTCTCCATCTCCTTGGATCAAGTTTTTCTCGAAATCAAAGTCTCCATCTCCTTGGATCAAATTTTTGGATTACCCCTCTCACTTTCACTCCCACCCCAAAATTTCTCGATAATACCAAGACTTCATCTCCTTGGATCAAGGTTTTTTGGATTCCCCCCTCTGGGGGTAAGCATTCAAATGAACTCCTCCTATGGGGCATGCATACTACAGGTCTAATGAAGGGTGTTTACTCGGCGGTCAGTGACGTCAGTATTCCACTCATTAAGTTAAATGAACTAAAAAGGACCACGCGCGCACAGGTTGAATCTTGTCTACCCTTTTACCCACCCTCCCAAACCCTCACACTCCAACCAACACCTCACAATTTTCACTCATAACCCCCAATTTTTCTCGTTTTAACCCTTTTAGTTCATTAAAGTTAATAAGGGGACACATGCATCAGAAAGTCACCACATCCACTTTCGTTAAATTCACTACTCACAATTTTACATATTACGAAGTTAAATACGCACTTTTACTTTGAACATCTTCAAAACACTCTCATAAATCATTTGAATACTCACAAAAAATACCTTTATACATTTCCAAACAACACTGAATTACTCCAAAAACATCATTCGAACACCCCCAAATCACCTCTGAATACTCCCAGAACACCTTCATAAGTACTCTTGCACATCATTTGAACACCTTCATAAGTACTCTCATAATCATTTGTACACCTTCAAAACACCTTTGAATACTCACATAAACACCCTTGAACACCTTCAAAACACCTTTGAATAACCTCAAAACACCTTCGAACACCTTCAAAACACCCTTGAACACCTTCAAAACACCCTTGAACACCTTCAAAAACAACATTTGAACACACTCAAAACACCTTTGAACACCTTTGAACATTTCCAAACATCACTGAAACACTTCCAAAAACACCATTTGAGTACTCCCAAATACACCACTGAATACTAAAACACCACTGAATACACTCAAAACACCACCAAAATCACCATGAAACACTTCCAAAAAACACAATTTGAGTACTCCCAATTACACCACTGAATACTACTAAAACACCGCTGAATTCAATCAAAACACCCTTCAACACCTTCAAAACACCTTTGAACACCTTTGAACATTTCCAAAACACTATTTGAGTACTCCCAATTACACCACTGATTACTACTAAAACACCGCTGAATTCAATCAAAACACCCTTCAACACCTTCAAATAAACTAATTTCATCACAACCCACTTATATCATCTTTTTTCGGTATCTCTAATTCGACTACATTACCCACATCCCTCATCAATTACCAATTTATTCACATTTTTTTCCCCTTCTTTTTACTACTAAAATTCTAATAAAATCCTCTCCATACCCACCTCCTTGTATCCACATAAATTAATATTATACTCGCATCAACTACCCAACTATTGCGATATGTTTTCAACACCCCCTCCATTCTTTTCCAATATATCATAACTTTTCAATTCTATAATTTCTTTTTAAAATATTCACACATTACCTTTATATTCAGTAAAATCTCTCCATATTTCTAATTACAACCCTCCCCATACCCCTCTCCATCTCACCCGCATTTCTTCACATCAACTCACCCATCTCCCAACACACCTCTTCTGAACACACACACAAAAAAATCACATTTCACATCCACAAATGCATCTCAAATCCACTAAAATCACTGTAACCAAGATATTCACACACACCTTACCTAACCTAACCTTACCTAACCTAACCTACCCTAACCTAACTTAACCTAACATAACCTAACCTAACCTTACCTAGCCTAACCTAACCTTACCTAACCTAACCTTACCTAACCTAACCTTACCTAACCTACCCTAACCTAACTTAACCTAACATAACCTAACCTAACCTTACCTAGCCTAACCTAACCTTACCTAACCTAACCTTACCTAACCTACCCTAACCTAACCTTACCTAACCTAACCTAACTTATCCTAACCTAACACAACCTAACCTTACCTAACATAACCTAACTTAACCTAACCGAACCTAACCTAACCTTACCTAACTTATCCTAACCTAACCTACCCTAACCTAACCTACCCTAACCTAACCCACCCCAACCTAACCTACCCTAACCTAACCTAGCCTAACCTAACCTAACTTAACCTAACCTAACCTAACCTAACCGAACCTGCCCTAACCTAACCTAACCTAACCTAACCTTACCGAACCTACCCTAACCTAACTTAACCTAACCTAACCTTACCTAA